TTTTACCCAGAGTTTTCCTTCTTGGTGCAAACACGAGTATTCAGAGAGAAGTAGATGCCTCCCGTAGAGTGATTTAACTTCTTCCTTTTTCCAGGAAAGTTCCAATTTCATATATTTTTCCCATTATTTCATCACTGATATCTCCTAGTAATGACAATATTTTGGTGGTTGTACCTGCTAGACTGTCTTTCAAATCTGGAAGCAACACAAAAGTCTTTTATGGTATCATAGGTCTTGGATTGGGGTTCAGAAAATAAGGTCACCACATGTAGAAGGAGATAGAACTGAAAAAAAAAAAACAAACAAACCCTAAAATCAACCTAATCTTCTACCCCGTTGGGTAGATACTAGAGTTTCCAGGCCAGGTTGTGACACAGCCTCTGCTTGAATATCTCCCCTAATAGATTGGAAACTCGCTCATAGCAGGGAAGGCATCTAGTTGTTAGTAAGCTTTGTATTTTTAATCAAACCTCTTTCCTATAGTCTCACTCATCAGGAACAACAGAGAAGGTTTCCTTTTTTTTTTTTTTTTGACAGTTTTTCAGATAGGAAGATAGATATCTTCATATCTCTGAGTCTTCTCTCTCCCAGGCCAAGGTTTACCAAGCCCTTTAATCATTTCATTCATAATGAGATTTTCACCATTCCAGGGGTCTTAACACTCTACTTTAACTTTCATTTTCCTGGTCTAGCTTTTGCAGAATAAAACTGGAACCCCTTTCCCTTAAAAAAATTCCTGATAATACAGTTTAAGATTATTTTAATTCATTTTACAGCCACATATTACTACTGGTTTAGACTAAGCCTGTGGTCAGTTGATGCCTCTTGGTCTATTTCAAGTAAATGAGTATCCTCACCCTCTTCTCCCCCCTTCCTCCCAATTCGTGCATGTGATGCTTAGAATTGGTATATGGAACTTCATCTTCATACCTAATATACATATCTTTGAATTCTGACCTGCCATTCAAATCTCAAACTCTCATTAAATCTTGATTTTTTTCATCTAACGTACCAGTTTTTCCAGTCAGCTGCAAATTAAAGTAGGTTTCCCATGTTTTTATAAGTGTTATCATCATCTTGTGAAAAGGGACACACTTTTTAGTGAGACAGATCTCGGATTTTAATCCCAGTTTCATCATGTAACTGCTGTCTGATGTTAGCCAGTTATTTAAACTCCCTGAGCCCAGTTTTGCTCATCTCAAAGTGAAGATGATAATTTCTACCTCTTAGTTTTGTTATGAGCATCTCTAATAGTGTAAGAGCAGAATGCAGTGCCTATCACATAGCAGGTAATGGTGATGACAGTAATAAATAATAAAGATAAATGTTTTCTTGGCTGGGAATCAGAATCAATTTTCTTGTTATCTTTCTTCTTTTCTGTCAGAGTTAATATTTTGGATAAGGCCAAGGACTGAACACTGTAGCCACTAGAGACCATTCTCCAGATTGACATTCACTAATTGACAAATGTTATTGGGCAATAAATGTGTATTGAACACATCTATGTTTCAGTACTCTTCTAGTGACTAGGAACTCAGTGGTAAAAAAGACAGCAAAGTCCATGGCCTCATGGAGTTGACATTCAAAAGGCCAGAGCTACTGCATAACATAGGGACATAATTCACATAGAATTTGTTGGCTCTACAAGAGGAGGAGAGAAACCAATTTTGTGTATGCGTACATACATAATGTATATAATATTGTATATAATACAATGTCAAATAGTGACAAGAGCTAGAATATATAATATGATGTCAGATAATGACATGAACGATACATAAAAAGAAAACAAGGTATTCAGTGTATTTAGAGGGCAAATGCTATCTTATATCATATGGTTAAAGACCTCTTTATGGAGGTGAAACTCGGGTGGACTCCTAATGGAGGGAGGCCATGAGCTGTGCAACTCTGAAGGAAAAGTGTTCTAAGAAGAAGGACATTGATTCATAAATGTAAGCTTTTTTGGTATGAATGGTCAATCAGGTATTTGTTCTCTTAAAAGCACTGTCTTATCCATCAGATCTCCAAGAATAATAAGAGACTTTGTAAATATGCTTACCCTAACTAGTCTAAACCACACATGGATCTGAGCTTGTCTGGGGATTCTGGGGAGGCACAGGATTTGTATTCCCTTGCCCATATGAAGGCCTTTCTCTCTCTGGTATTTCTCCTTGAGCAAGTGTGCAACTTTATGAAACATAAAGTAAAGAAGGGGATCCATCACCCAGCCAGATCAAATGAATCAACCCTTGTGGCCTACGGGGTGATAGGACCCCCATCAAGGTTGCTCTCCCACCCCTTATTGTACACATGACATCCTCACTCTCACCAGTCCTTAAAGCTACACACACAAGAAGGCATGTAGAATCTGTTATTTCTCTTTGGTGAATCCATCCTGGTTTCTAGTGATCACCACTTCCTTTTTAAGGGCTGACACACCATCTAGTCATACCCTGTTTCAAAATCAAGCTTGCAGATCTGTAGGACACAGAATACACTTTCCTCCGCCTCATTTTGAAAAATTAGAATACTAATTTCCTAGCTCTACATGTCTCTAGTACATGTCTCTAGTACCTTGCCCCAGCACCTTTTCAATTCTCTATGATCCTGTAAAGATTACTGACAGTGACTCTTAGATTTCATCTGCAAAATCTCTTCATACTCCAGGATGTAATTTGTTTAGGCCTGGAGACATAAACTCATTTAAAACAACAAGATGGTCTCCTGCTATCACCTTACCTATCTCATACTTCAGTTCCTTCTAAACTACATTTATTCAACTGTCCTGAGTTTAAAGATTATTATCCCTGATAAAGGAGATGGAACTACAACAGGAGTGGAGATATATGACTTTCGCTTTGTTATTTGTTAATGTTATATCATCTGCCGCAAGCAGTGAGTCTGTTTTTTAGGTTTATCTTTTTACTTTGATTGTAGCTGATAAGAGGGATGTGTGTGTGTGCATGCGTATGTTTGTGGATGAAGGCTTAAGCATATTTCACTTCAGCTTATTGAGGGATGAATTCTCTCATCTTGTTCATTCAGTTCAGTACTCCTATGCATTCCCTTGCTTCAGTGTGTGGTTTTACGTGAAGGCTCTAGAGTCACACCACCCAGGGTCAAATCCTGGTGGTTTCACTTCCTATAGCAGTGAGACCATGGGCAACTTAGTTCACTTCTATGAACCTGAGTTGGCCTTATCTATAAAATGGAGGTAATAAGACCTTAAGGACTTAAGGCCAGGTGCAATTGCTCACACCTATAATCCCAGCACTCTGGGAGGCTGAGGCAGGTGGATCACCTGAGGTCAGTAGTTGGAGGCCAGCCTGGCCAACATGGCGAAATGCAGTGTCTAGTAAAAATACAAAAATTAGCCAGGTTTAGTGGTGCATGCCTGTAGTCCCAGCTACTCGGGAGGCTGAGACATGAGAATCGCTTGAACCTGGGAGGCAGAGGTTGCAGTGAGCTGTGATCGTGCCACTGCATTCCAGCCTGGGTGACAGAAGGAGACTCTGACTCCCAAAAAAAAAAAAAAGATTTAAGAGTAAATGATTGAATGTACATAAAGGGCTTAGAAGAGTGTCTGGCACATAGTAAGTGCTACTCACCACCACCATCATCATTTTTAAATGTATTTCCATCATCTTTCATATTTGTGTTTAAGAGATCTTCCTGGTCAGCCACAGTTTGTCTTACCGTTAGGACACACTTAATCCAATTCTTTGTATATTCTATCTCTGTGTATTTAGGCCCAAACAGTGAGCATTGAAATAAATGATGATGATGTGAGGCTCTCAAAGAGCATAAATCATCAAATAAATATGAAATTACATTTAATGTACTCATGGCAGGAGCAAAGTGAATGGATGCATTTTACAAAGGCTCTCAGCCAAGTCTGGTTTGAAACGGAGCAGAGACTTTATAATATTCTTGCTCTAACTAGTAGAAGCCATAGATAGTTCTGAGCTTGTCTGAAGGGGCTCTGGAAGGCATAGATGAAAGAATTGTCTTCTTAACCAAAGAACCCAAATAAGCAATGTACCCACTTTCAAGCGTTCTGGCTTAGTTCAAATGCTGAAGGAAAAACTTATCTTTATCCCACACAAGACCAAACAAATCTATAAAACCTCATGGGAATCCCAAAGTATTGTTTCATATGTGTATTAAAAGGTAAACTTGGAATCACTAAGGGAATTCTCAGCTTATCGATCTTTGGACCATATGAAAGCTGTTGGTGGGACATTTGATAGAATTTAATTGGTTACTGTATGGAGTGCCTGTGTACTTATGTTTTCATAATGAATTGCCTTTGTTTTAACAGCCATCGTCACATTCCTGGCCGCCTTTGTTTTTTTGTTTTTGGTGTTGTTTGTTTGTTTGAGACAGAGTTTTGCTCTGTCGCCCAGGCTGGAGTGCAGTGGCGCAATCTCAGCTCAATGCAACCTCTGCCTCCTGGGTTCAAGCCATTCTCCTGCCTCTGCTTCTCCAGTAGCTGGGTCTACAGGCACACACCAGCTGGGACTACAGGCACGGGCCACCATGCCTGGCTAATTTTGTATTTTTAGTAGAGACAGGGTTTCGCCATGTTGGCCAGGCTTGTCTTGAACTCCTGACCTCAGGTGATCTGCCCACCTTGGCTTCCCAAAGTGTTGGGATTACAGGCGTGAGTCACCGTGCCTGGCCCTCCTGGCCTTCTTTGATTGAAGAAGGAAGTAAATCTACTTAACTGAGGAATTTCTCTCTTTCTTGGAGCTCTCCTATTTCCAGGACACTGACATATGTTAGAAACTTACAGAAGCAGCTACAGCCTGTGTAGGGAGGGTCCTACAGTATTGCAGGGGTGCCTTGGACTGGTGGGTAAATCTGACTAATTAAGGAGTATTAGCAAGTCCATTTGTTCTCAATTCTCCAGCGAAATTCTCTTAGTCTTATCAGTTATAGTAATAAAGCTGACATTTTGATCTCTATGTGTCTGTTTTTTGTGTCTTATTTCTCGATAGGTTCTTAACTTGAGAAGGGAAGAGAGAGCTATTATTTATTGATCTCCTCATACCTCAAATGATGCCAAAAAGAAGAGTGAAGGTAAGCAATAGTCATTAGCTCCTTTCTTTACATGTAACCAAGATGTGAACCAAGACAGTCTGGATCAGTTGAACAATTTATCCCTATGAGTCAATCAAAATCGAATATCACTGAGGCCATGCTCTGGAGTGGAAAATATGGACTTTTAGTATCATAGATACTAACCATCAGTTAGCTACTGGTTATTTGGAAATTGTTGGTGTCTGTTCTTTGTCCAGACTTTGCTGCCTATTTTGCAATGCATAGTTCATGCTTGTTCTAGTTCTACCATTCACTCCAATTTATGGGTCATGTATAATAACATTCAGCCGATCCTTGGTTTCCAGCATGCTCAGGTTAACCATAATGATCCCAACTTCTGTTTCATGTTGGCTCTTGGTGTGTTTACCCAAAACACGTAGAGTTCTATTGGAAAGAATGTAAAGCAAAGTGTAAAATCATGAGAGGAGTTCATTGCAATATGCTGGATTAACTTTTGGCCAAATTTATGTCTTGGGGGTTGATTTGGAAACAGTGCTTTCAATTCCCTTTTACCGTATATGTCAGAAGAATTTCCTGTTAAATAATATGATGTTTTGACTTGGTTTTAATATGTTCTAGTACAAATACCCAGGGACAAATTCTTCAGCTGAATACATCTGAGAGATGAATTGTTTAATTGATCTGACAGTCTTTAGGCAACCTGTGAGAAAATGATCTGATTGACTTCCCTCTGGGAAAACCTGCCCTTTTTTCCACCTTTCATCATGGTTAAGCAAACAGACAGACAAACAAACAAAACATAAATCTAGGAAGTTGTGATGAAAAAGGAGTTGTTGGCAACATGTAGGCAGAGGCCAAAAATAAACAGAGCTGATTGGAAAGTGACTTTCTTTCTGGGGATGGAGTGCGAGGCTTTTTTTTAGTTGGAAGATGGAGGAATCTCATTGTCTTGGGGAAAAGAGAAAGTTTGAGCAGGATCAAGAGCAGAGGTCATAGAGATGCAAAGAAAGGAAGGTAGGAAATTTGTTAAAGTTTTGTCTGTTCAACAACTATCCAGTAGCTACAGACATCCTTTGTCTCCTCTTAATGAGTACAAACCAAGCTTAAATCCTTGTTGAGCCAGAGAGAACTAGAGTAGACAGGATGGTGGAAAGATAAAAGGTGGCCTGGATGTACAGGAGATGGGATGGCGATGCAAAGAACCCAAAAAATAGGGCCAGATTTAATAACTAGTTAATGAGCATAATTCAAACAAATTGACCAGAAGAGAAGACCCTGGATGCACTAGGCAGGACCTTCCAAGGGTAGAAGGAAATGAGCAGAGAAGACATTAGTTGTCAAGATGAAGCACCAGAGAGAGCTCTGGTGGTGAGCCACCAAGTTAATGCCGGGAAAGCCTGAAGATAGTATTCTTTGGGATGCAGATTAGGGATTGGTTTTTCCAGGGGCCAGATATCAGAGTTGAACCTAAATTAAAAATGAATGAAACATATATTGGTTAATTGCTATGTGCCCATCACTGTGCTGGGTATTGAAGATAGGATGGGGGCGGGGGGGGCGGTGGGCAAGACAACCTAACTCCCGCCCTCCTGGGGCTTACAATTCAGAAGGAGGAAGAGCAAATTACAAAGTTGTAGGCCAGGTGCAGTGGCTCATGCTTGTAATCTCAGTGCCTTAGGAGGTCGAGGCAGGAAGATCACCTGAGGCCAGGAATTTGAGACCAGCCTAGGCAACATAGCAAGACATTGTCTGTACAAAAAATAAATACATAAAATAAAAACTTAACTGGGTATGGTAGCAAGGGCCTGTAGTCCCAGCCACCTGGGAGGCTGAAGCCAGAAGATTGCTTAAGCCCAGGGATTTGAGGCTGCTGTGAGCTATGATTACATCACTGAATTCCAGTCTGGGCAACAGAGTGAGAGACCATCTCTAAGATTAATAATAATAATAAATAAATAAATAAATAAAAAGTTGCAAGTGCTAAGTGGTACAGGGTATCATAGCAACACATAGGCCATACCTGACCCAGTAGATGGGAGTGAGGTTAGGGGAGTCTTTCTGGAGGAAGTTATGTCTAAGTTGAGACCTGAAGGACAAGTTGGAGTTAGGCAATCAAGGAACAAGGAAGAACATTCCAGGCCAAGTGAGTAGGATATGGGAAGGCCTGGGGGATAGGCGAGAAAGAGCTTCAGAGTTAAGGATTCAGAAATCTGAAAGTAGGTTAACACCACACTCCAGGCACTTTTTACAGGTAGTGACTTTGCATGAGTTTGTGTCTGTAGAAAAAAATTTGAGTCTTGACAAGGTCACCAGGTGGAGAACATTTCTTGATATTTGTTCCTTGGGATGCAAGGGGTGGGGCAATACAACGGCACTGAGGGGGTCCCCAGGACTTTGGTGGAGAACCCAGCAAGCCTGTTGGCAGGGAGTTCAGCAGGACAGTGGAGCAGGTTTTGTGCGATTCTCTGGATGCTTGGGCCATGGCCAGTAGACCACATGCTGCCAAGTTCAGAAGAAAAGAATCATACTGCATAGGAAAGTGAATCTTGCACATGGCCAGAAAAAGGAAAGACAATTTAGTTTTATATGTTACATTTTAATAATAGTCATTTGTAACTGCATAATGAAATCTGTGAAAAAAAAAGTTCATTTCCAGAAGAATAATCTCTAACTGATATGCAATGCCGCAGTAGGATTTGTCCAGGTTTTAATTTTAGTTTGAATAAATAATGTAAGATACTAGCCTGGGTGAGATAAAAGGAAATCTCTCTGCTTTCATCTCTCCATGATGGAAATAATAACTACTTTATTTCAAAACAAGTTTCCAATTAGTTTCTGTGAAATATTATTATCCCCCTTTCCCAGATACTGTAGCTCATTTTGAAACTTAATTTTGATAATATATAAACATTTCTGAAACTTACTCTACAGGAATGACAGTTATATTTGAAGGGAAGAATGCTGCTGGGCTCTAACTGTATTATTTGGAATGGTTCTAAATAATGGTAAAAATAATAAATGGGAATCAGTCAAAGTGCAATCTCATTTCATGGGTATTTATGACCTAGTAAGGACTTGTCTTCACCCAAGAGCACAGATGAAGGAAGGCCACTTTCTCCAAAGTTATTCAGTGGAATTTTTTCCTTTCAGCACTAGTTATGCTTTACTTAAGAATGTATATCATCTTGTTCTTATTTACAGAGATGGTCTTATTTAAATAATTAGTGAATTAAGCATAATGGAACACCTACTGTGTTCCAGACACAGGGCCTGGGACTTGTGTGCTGGGATTTGCATGGTCAAATAGGTAGATGTGACCTCTGTCTTTGGGGGATTTATTATCTAGAGGAGAGGGGCAGGAGTTAAAAAATTTCTCTGTCTCTGTCTCTCTTTCTCCCTGCCACCCCCCACTGCCCGCTGCCCGCACCCCACACACACAGTGATAGAAATAAGAGGTCTATGGTGACTTGAGAACACATAATAGGAAGAGTCAGACTAACCAGACTGATTACCCTGGGCAGCAAAAGGCTTTGGTATGATTCAGTTGAGGTAAGATATAGATTAGTTATGATACAAGCTAAACTGCTCTCACAAAGATGCTACATTGTCATGGCTTCTCTAAGATGTAAGTTTCTTTCTCTTTTGTATGACAGAGGTGAGCAGTTCAAGGTTGGTGGGCAACTCTGCTATCTTCAACTTCTGGCTTCCAGTCCTATCTCTGTGGATACCATTTTGAGCCAGAAGGAGGGGAGAAAGAAATGGCTTTCAACAGGTGACTTGGCAGCTGTACACATCATTGTTGCTTGGCCAGCATTTAGTCACATGACCACACCTAGCTATAAAGTAGGCCAGAAGATGTTGTTAGTGGTGCTAGCTAGTTGCATAGGAGTTCTATTTAAAAGGAAGTTGAGAATGGATGCTGGCAGGTGGAGGGGACAGTCTTTGGCACAGAAATGAAGGATGAGTAAGAGTTAATTAGGCTGAAGTGGAGACAGAGGGTAGAACATGGAAAGTCCGCATCACAGGAGAAAGTGTGGTGACCTTCACTGAAAGTAGGTCACAGGCCTGGGTCATAGAGGTGGGCAGATTCAAGGTGAGCTGGGCAGGAGCCAGATCATGCTTAGCTTATGGTTCAGGGCAAAACATTGGTCTTCATTCTAGAGCAAGTGAAGCCATTAGGGTTGAAAATGGAAGGAAGGGGACCCATGAAAATTCTCACTTTGAACAGATCGCCTATTACAGTGTGGAGAATGGATCAGAGGGCACAGTAGTCATACACCACGTCAGACACCATGCTAGGTGCTGGGAAATGGCAGTTGAGCAGGATAGACCCAGTCCCTGACCCCCCCGAGTTTACATTCTTTGGGAGGGAGGGAGAAAGCTAAGGCAGATCTAGGAGCCACAAGGGATAACTTTCCTACGACAGAGCCAGGCAGGGACTGTCAGTGGCATTTTGGCTATAAGCTGGGAGAGGCCCTGGTTCTGCTTTAACTGTAGTGTCTCTCTCCATAAAGTGGAGGAAGCCTCTAACAATGGGTTAATCCAAGGTGGAGGTATTTTCTACCAGCTTCCTTTTCTTTCTTTGATACAGAGTCTTGTTCCATCACCCAGGCTGGAGTGCAGTGGCATAATCTTGGCTCACTGCGACTTACACTTTCCAAGGTTCAAGTGATTCTCCTGCCTCAGCCTCCTGAGTAGCTGGGATTACAGGCATGCTCCACTACACCTGGCTCATTTTTGTTTATTTTTGGAGAGATAAGGTTTCACCATGTTGGCCAGGCTGTTCTTGAACTCCTGGCCTCAAGTGATTTGATCACCTTGGCCTCCCAAAGTGCTGGGATTGCAGGTGTGAGCCACTGCACCTGGCCCAGCTTATTTTTCTTAATTGAGGTAAAATTCACATAACATAAAATTAACTGTTAACCACTTTAAAGTGTACAATTCAGTGGCATTAAGTGCATTCATGATATTGTATAACTACCATCTCTATCTAGTTCCGAGACATTTTCATCACCCAGAAAGGAAAACTCATACCCATTAAGCTCCATCATACTCCTACTCCCTGTCCTTCAAACCCCTGGAAACCCATTGGCCTGCTTTCTGTGTCCATGAACTTACATATTCTGGAGGTTTCATGTAAATGGAATTATGCAATATATAACCCTTAGTGACTTGATTCTTTCATGCAGCATGATGTTTTTGTAGTTCATCTGTGTTATAGCATGTATCGGTATTTTATCCTTTTTTATGGCTGCACAATATCCCATTGTATAGATAGACCATATTTTGTTTATCCGTTCATTCATTGATGGACATTTGTACTGTTTCTGCCTTTTGGCTGTTGTGAATAGTGCTGTTGTAAACATTTGCGTCCACTAGCTTATTTTTTCCCCAAAGTAGGTTTTTTCACGTTACGTGTAAAAAACCAACAGGAGAGGAAACAAAAGATGAATTGAATTCTTCTGTCCTCAGTTGAGTACCGCCACCCCCATCACCCTGACCTAAGTGCATCTACAGGCTCCAGGGTCCTGCCGTACTCCCCTCAGGCTCTCACAGTTCTCTCCTGTTGCCTGCTGCACTTCTATTCTCCATGCCAGTTCTTCTGTTCTCTCAGTGGGATTTCTGTGGTCTCTGCAAGAAACACCACACCTCTACTTTTGCTTCCTGTCTTCTCACTACTCTTCCCATCACCCACACCTGGAAACGCCACCCCCATTCCTGGCTTTCCAGATGCCCTTGTTCGTCATTATTTCTTTTCTTCAAAGTCAGCACAGTGTCATCATTTGAGGAAGGTGGGAACAGCAAAAGGAAGTGAGGAGAGGGCTGTTGATGTGCAAGGAGGTCAGTTGGTTCATTCTTTCCTGTTCATTCATTCATTCATTCATTGTTTTATTTATTCTTCCAGTGAAGATTTATTGAGCACTCACTCTAGATAAGAAACTGGTGCTAAAGCTTCAGACATGGACGCATGGCCTGGCTCTTTTGGAGCTCACAAGTGAGTCAGATGTCTAAACAAATAAGCCACAAGACAATACAGACTTTTAATAGGGATACAAACAAAGTATTGTTGGAGCTTGGACAAAGCAGGTGGGCTAGGGGTATTTGAGAAATTCCAAGGGCACTTTGGGGGAAAAGTTTTTCTACCCAAGTTTTCTCCTAGATCCTACAGAAATAAAGTCATACCTTTCCCTTGTATTTTAAGCCAGGACTTGACCATTATCTGTGAATCATTCCAGATGGATAAACTGAGGCACAGAAGACTCAAGCTCAAACCTTTAGTAACAAAGTGGTGATCTGAGTGAAAAGTTGATTCCCTTACGTGTTCTTTATTTCCCAGCCCCCATAAGCTCACTTTTCTGTAATTGCAGGGTGGAATTCTCTGTTTTTCTTCCCTCAGTGCAGAAAGCCAGACTGGTGATGCTATTTTTCAGATGAAGAAAACAAGACAGGGGGCGTTTACTCAAGGCCACTTATCACTTTTATGGAGGAGCCAGAATCACAGCTCCTACCCTTTGAGTTTCCAGCCTGTTGCCTAGCTACCAAACCTCCCTGCCTCTTCCACCGCACAGCAGCTGAGCAGGCACTTAATAATAATAATTGATGGTGTTGGCTAACAGGGAGAGTTCAGAGTGGTTCTGGGGAGTTTGTTTTCACATATCAATAAATTTTATTCTTCTGTGGTCAATAACCTATATTAATTTGCTTTAGATAGCACTGCTGTCTTAACTCACAATGAAACTTTCTTAGCTGCATTGATGATTTCTCTTTTTTTCTTTATCTCAACTATTCTTTCTTGGGGACTACAGTTGCTGTTTATAGTTATTATACATTTAAAAAGGGGAAATTGATATAGTGTCTGTCCTAGGGCTTCCAAGAGAAGAGCTTCATTGTAACAATTTTAAGAAATGGAATGAAATTCAGTGAAAATTAAATACAGTTCTTCAGAAAGTAACATTTCTGCTTCTTAAAGTATTAGCTTCACTTATTAATTGATCAATTATGTTAAAAATATTTGCACACCTAGATGTTCCAGACACTAACAGGAGTGAAAATATAAATCTGTTTATTCTTTAAACTTTGATATACCATGTTAATGCTGGGGATGTTGTGATTTTCCTCATGTTGCTCACAGTCCAGTAGAAGTTGGATGCCCTCACCTGATCAACAAGTGGGCAATTGCAGCCTTCACATGCATCTCACAGGAGAAGCACACAGAGCTGTGAGTACCCCTGGTGGGTGGATTTGACATGATTAGGGAAGGCTTCCCAGAGGAAATGTTGCTCAAGCTGAGTTCTGATGAATAAGCAGGGGGAACCAGAAGAAGAGGGAAGGAAAAAGTGTTCCAGACAGACGAAACACCTTCAAAGACCTGGTGGTGTGTGAGAATGTGTGGAGTCCAGGAGCTGTAAGACTAGCATGGTTTGAATGAAGTTAGAGGGTGAGAGGAAGCTGGAGAACTGGGCAGAGGCCAGACCATGCACGACATCAGGCACCTGTGCTACACCACGTCGCTCCCACTCTAATTCCAGCCAAGGCTACAGTGAACAGTGCCTCACCAGCTCCCATCAGCTCTGTGCTGACCTCGTCCTAGGTGTGCCTGGAGCTTCTCTGGTTCCAGGCCTAGGCCTTTGCAGACCTGGCAGCCATATGTGAGCAACCCACACATACCAGGGAGTTGGTGCCCATGGAGCAACTCTCAGCCATTGGTGGATGAAAGGCAATGGGTGAATGCTTCTAGAAGCATTCACGCATTGTCTCTGGTGGACGTTTCGGAGACACATTCCCCATGGTCCCTCAGAAATTCCTCACAGAATTGGTCATAGTTCCTCACAGCGGTGATCAACTTACTCATTCATTCATTCCCTCCTTCTCTGTTTTACCGACTTTCCCTGATCCATGAACTCCTGCTCCCTGGAGTCATGTCCCAAATTAAACTATGCAGGCACACTTTTGTGACCTGCTGTTTTGGGGGAAGCCAGACAGAGATACAACTCCACTCTAAACATTCCCAGCCAAGGCTTACAGTGCAACGTGCCCTCACCACGCAATCATACAGCCTGCTGCCTGCACCATCAACGTCCCTAAAGGTGCTGCCGGAGCTTCCTTCTGGTCTACACAGGCCTAAGGCCCTTTGCAGACCTGGCGCAGCCATATGTGCAGCCAAACCTAAACACACAAACAAACACCACACAAATACCAGGCGAAGAGTTGGTGCCCCATAGGAGCACCTCACCAGCCATCTGGTGGAATGCACAAGGCCAATTGCTGCTCTCTGGTGACTGGTTTCGACGAGACCATTCCCCCATGGTCATCCAGAATTCCATACACGAAGTTAGGTCCATAGCGTCCTCACAGCGGTAGATACCACTTACTCATTCTTCAATTCCCCTCCTTCTCCCATGTCTTTACGACTTCTCCCTGATCAATAAGACAATCCCTGACTCCCTGCGAGTCATGTCCACAAATAATAACTCATGCCAGGCACACTTTCTGTGACCTGCAGTGGTCTTCCTGGGGGAAGCCAGACAAAGATACCAACTCAAGTCCACAAGAGTTATTGTCTTTGTACTCTAAGCACTCGAAATGACTCATGCTATAATACACCTCCACAAGGTGAACGATTCCTTCTTCCTTCCTTCCTTCCTCTCTCTTCCTATCCTCTCTTTTCTTCTCTACTCTTCTTCCTTCCGTCTCCTCTCCCCACTCTCTCTCCATTCCTTCCTTTCCTCCTTCTCTCTCTCATTCCTACTCCTTCTCCCTTCCTATCCTATTCTCCTCCTCCTCTCCCTCCCCGTCTCCGCTCCAGCCCGCACGGGGCCGGGGCCTCTCCCTCCTCCTCCCTCCTCCTTTCTTTTCTTTCTTTCTTTCTTTCTGTCTTTCTTTTCTTTCTTTCTTTCTTTCTTTCCTTTCTTTCTTTCTTTCTCTCTCTCTCTCTCTGCTCTCCT